ATTTAGTGGCTACCATAATGGAGACGTACACTGCGCTTGCATGTTGGCGCAATCGCGAACGCTCAGCTATTTCGGCAAAAATTAAATGTCAGAAGAAATTCAAGGTGGTTTATCCGAGGCAATTTAATGGCCCAACTCCTACTGCAACACTCAACCTCTTGCCTCTCTCGGCTGCTAGCACGTACGCACACAACAACGCCTGTATCCCCCAATCCGGTCTGACCAATCACCTCCCTGAGGTTGGCTCACACGTGATTGCGCTGTAGACACTGTGATGACTTCCGCGGTCTCTCACACTTCGGACACCAGCCCTTGCGGCTGCGGACGAACGTCCGTTCGGCTGCCATCTTCCTCCAACCTCCTCCTCTTTACAGAATGTACTCTTCCTCCCACCTGGCGTCTTCCCACACGAAACATCACCTAAAGATCGCAGCGGCAAGCGTTTCCCCTATTAACTTAAGCCACTGCGATCATAATTTCCATAGTCCGGATCCGGAAAAAAGGGGGTAGAGCACACGCACCGGATAATCTCCATGAGAACATCCGTGGAGGTGTTCGCTGGGACGTCCTTGCTGAAGTGTAGGTTCAGAGTGCTACACTGAGCGTAGCTCAGATAGCGGAAGAGCACGCGAACCCACCTGGAGAAGGGCGAATTGAAAAAAAAACCCGAGATGCAATTTAGGGGCAAACTATTTCGGGGGGTATAAATGATTGTAAAGTCTAAATCTCTCACGTTTTCCCTATTAGCTGAGGTTTTAATATGAATAAATTGGCAAGCATCTTCAAGTCCGACAGGCTATCATTGAGTCAGGATCTTGTTGACCAGGAAATATTAAATATTTCATCTCGAATTTTGTTCAAGCCCTTCTGAACCTGGTCAGGTAGGCCACTTTAGTTGCTCACAAGTTGCACAAGAAAACCAAACTAAACTGTTTACTTACAAGTGACGAGTAATATTATCGCATTGCATAAGTCAATGTCCACAAGTCACCACAAGCCCAACACATCACTGCTGTCCTAATCGCGGCTTGGTTTACACATCGATTAATCTCGATGTCAGCGAAAGAAAAATCGAAAATTCTTCTTTTTTTATTTTGCTGACGGCATTAATATCACGCTTGTAATGTAAAACATGTGTATGGGCGCGGTAAAACACTGACAGACCTGAGCTATACGGTACTGCCTCTGCCGGGACACATCTT